TAACTTTACATTTTCAATTCGCGTTGAGGTCTGCGCTACCAACCTTTGGGTTAATACTTCAAACGTTCGCCACAACATTATTATAATTTCTGGCAGTATTTTAGAGTCCTGCTACTTATATTATAAGTAGTAACGACGATGATAAAGAAGTTAACTAAACCCATATGAGAAAATGGAGGAAATTATTTGACCCTTAACGTAGCCAATATTAAATTATATAGAATAATGTCTAGTCAAGAGTTTACAACTAGTCCCACCTCTAATGTAAACTTAAAAATTCGCTCTCAACTCTAGCTTATCTAACATTTCAAAAGGACTAAGAACAAAACATTTTAATATTTATTTTTATTTGTGCTTGAAGCATAACTTCTTTAAAGTGACAACTCGCTTTGATATTGTTACAGCTGAAATGAAGGTCCTTTTCTGCGATAAGGTAAAGCGCATAAAGCAAAATAGCGACAAACTGGCTAAACTTCAAACTCTACGCTACATCATAATAATGCATCCCGACAAAGAGCTTGATTCCGTTAAGTTGGAAATGGAGGGACGAATCAAGATTTTGACATTTTCTGAGCTGAAGGTTAGTCTGGGTTTGCTTTAATACATTTTTTGAGTATAAACCATGCAAAATAGAGAAATGCGCATTTACGAAACTAAGATAAGCATGTAGAAAAGTATGAAATTTTTGTTTATGAGTTGATTGGTACCTTTTCATTAGTACATGGCCGCTGAACGATACAATAAGGTAAATTCAAGAGCTGCAATCATATATGGAGAGTAAATATGAGGTATATATATGCTAGCCCACTTAAAGCATTTCAGCTGCCAAACTTAAAGTCTTTCGCAAGTTTATTTGCAGCCAAACTGCTCAACTGCTTAGCAGTATCGTCAATTGAAAGAGGTTTAGTTCGCAAGACATAAGCCCTGAGGTTCGATAAAGCAGTTGCTGTCAAAGCGACTAGCACTCTTTGCCTATCTGGACGCAGACAACCTGGATTTATTAACCTTGGGAAGAGAAACAAAAAATTTATACTGGATGAATAGCCCTTTAGAGATAGAGGAAGACCGAACCGAAATGGACACATCATCAAAATGTGAGTAGAAATTCCTACATGCATAAAATCACTTGAGTGATATCCATCACTATGTAGATTACTCAGCATGTGCGCTGGCCATAGCTTCCGATTAGTCAACTCACCTCTATCATCTTATTATATACTATATTCTTTCTTTTTTTCGATTCAAGGAGCAC